GAAGTTCTGAACGCTAAGGTGGCAAAATGGAACTGAGGCTTGAGGCAGGTGGAGCATGCGCTATAGGGGCAACCTTCATCTATGTTATCTTTTGAAGCTCTAGAATATTCTGAGGAGCCCGGTGCAGGTGCAGACTAAACGCAATTGTGTGCATTCACGGAGGCCATGAAGAAGAAGCTACTGTTAACACAATGGATTTGTAGTTGATTTGACAGGCCATACTCAAAGACTATACATCTATGGTTCCTTGCTATCCTGGAGAGAATTGACAAGTGGGGCACTGTAGGATTCTGCCTTAGACCCTGTATTCTTCAATACATTTATAAATGACTTGGATGAGAGTAGAGGAAGGATGTTCATCAAATTTGTGGCTGACATCAAACTCAGAGGGGTAGCTAATGCTTCAGAACACAGAAGTCATGACAGTTTAATAGATTGATAGCCAGAAAAAATAAAATGAGTGGAAAAATGAGATGTACAAATAGATAATGGGAGACAGCTGGCTTGGCATTAATACTTGTGAAAAGGATCTTAGTAGATCACAATTTAAATATGTGTAAAAAACATATTTAGGAGACTTCCGGCTTGATGTCGCGACGAGACAGCAGCAGGAGGACAGAGCTCTGTCCCCTGGGCTGAATTCTGACCTGTTTTGGGACACCGCAGGGTTTCAGAACCACCCTGGAGGGGTAGTGAACTGGGGGGGAAGCCTGTTGATCACAGGGCGGTGGTGGTCACCCCCGTTTGATCCAGGAAACTACCTAATCAGCCAACGGGCAGAAACAAGCAACTTGGGCTCGCTTGCAAGTCGTCAGCAGCCTGCTAAGAGAAGCAACGATCAGCATCTGGCATCGCTGTTTACCATCGGGTGAGATATTTTTTTACAACTAATTGCCTATGTACCCCTGGAGAAAACAATTTCTATATATGGAAAAAAAGAATCGCTATCTATCTCAGTAACTTATAAAGCAGCAAAAAATCTGGTGAGAGGGATAGCTGAAGAAAATAACCTTTTTGAAATATACTTCAAGAATATTACAATTTGGCGTTATAAAGCTTAAGAAATTTTCCTGTAAGCTAAACCTGGACATTGTTTTGACTACTTGAAGTCGTTTGGCATGGAGCCCAGGAGGGGTGACCTTGAACACTCTGCTGTTGCTTAAGTCTGAGAATCTTTGGCCATGAAAACTCACTGAGGGAGTGGAACTGATAAAACCCTTGAAAGCCCTATTATGGTCTCTGTTAGCTGATTCCAAAAGGCTGCCAGGAGATGTTCAAATGATTACAGACTTCAGCTCTGCTCTCAGATACAGATAGCAGCAGACACAAGTAACATCAAGGGAATGCAAGATGGTGTCAAGGAGTCTTTAGGTCCAATACAGAAGAAATCTGCTCCTTTGAAGTCTGCTACAGGCGTGATCATCCAGGACTGAGCACAGCAGATGGAACGCTGGGTGCAGCACTACGCTGAGTTATATTCCAGAGAGAATGTAGCAAGTGAAGGGGCACTAAATAACATTGAGTGCTTGTCTGTCTTGGAAGAGTTGGACAGCGAACCAACTTTAGCAAATATAAAAGCGCCCTTGGATTCCCTCACCTCTTGCAAGTTACCTCAGAAGGATAATAATAATAATAATAATAATTTATTGTCATTGTAAGTGTATACACATACAACGAAATTCACAGACACCCAGAGACCAGACACATGCACACACATAACATTCCCCAAACACTCCCCACCCACTAAAAGTCCCCCACTAAAAATACAAACATCTACACCTCAGGCCAAGTAACACAGTCCAACTAATTATTCACTACTGGTGGTCTTTAAGCTCATTATTAATTGTAATTATAGCTCTAGGATAAAAACTATTTAGAAAACGTGTGGTCCGAGTCTTAATTGTTCTATATCTTCTGCCAGACGGTAACAGTTCAAAAAAGTTATAAGCAGGATGGGAAGAGTCTCTCAGGATGCTATGTGATTTCCTTAGACAGCGGGATGTGAAGATGTCATCCAGGGTTGTAGCTGGAGCCCGATGATATTCTGGGCAATTTTAATGGTTCTCTGTAGAGCTTTTTTGTCCGCTACAGAGCTACTCCCAAACCATGCCAGAATGCCATAAGTTAGGACACTCTCAATGGTGCTACGGTAGTAGGACAGAAGTAAATGCTGTGATAAATTTAACTTCCCGAGCATTCTCAGGAAATACAGCCTCTTCTGTGCCTTCTTTATTAGCATGTTGGCATTTATAGTCCATGAGAGGTCCTCTGAGATGTAAGTGCCCAGAAATTTAAAACTACCAACTCTCTCCACTTCCTCACCGTTTATGTACAGTGGTAAATGTACATTTCTCTTCCTCCTAAAATCAATTATGAGTTCTTTAGTTTTTTTGATGTTAAGTGTGAGATGATTTTCTTTACACCATAGTATCAGTCTTTGTACTTCCTTTCTATAAGCAGACTCATTGTTCTTATTTATGAGTCCCACCACTGTCGTATCATCCGCAAATTTAATAATTGCATTGGTGTTATATAGTGGGGTGCAATCATGTGTGTACAGGGAATAGAGGAAAGGACTTAGCACGCAGCCCTGGGGAGCTCCTGTACTTAGTACCAGGGTAGAAGAATGGTGGGATCCCATCCTTACTGACTGTGGCCTATCTGTCAGAAAATCCTTTATCCACATGCAGATCTCCTGAGGTAATCCCAGGTTGATCATTTTTAAAAACAACCTATTTGGTAGAATGGTGTTAAAAGCAGAGCTATAATCCACAAACAACAGCCTCGCATAAGTTCCCTGTTGTTCTAAGTGGCTCAATACAGTATGGAGTACGATGGACACAGCATCATCAGTAGATCTATTTCTCCTGTATGCAAATTGCCATTGATCCAAAGAAGGTGGAAGACTAGCCTTAATGTAATCCAGCACCAATCTCTCAAAACATTTCATAATAACAGATGTTAAAGCTACTGGTCTATAATCATTGGGAGATACCACAGCTGACTGCTTCGGGACTGGCACTATAATAGATGTCTTCAGGCAAGTGGGGACAGAACACTGCAACAAGGATAGATTGAAAATATCCGTAAAAACTCCAGCTAATTCTGCAGCACAGCCCCTAACAACTCGTCCCATGATTCCATCTGGTCCAGCTGCCTTTCAAACGTTAATATTCTGGAAAGCGCGTCTCACATCTGAAATCTGCAGTACTAGTGGTTGTCTGTCGATGGTAGATTCTAGTGATGTATTATAGACAGTAGGTGCTGGAATAATGGTTGTTCCTGTTTCCACCTCAAAACGGCTGAAAAATTGATTTAACTGCTCAGCCAAAAAATCACTGCTGCTACACAGACTGTTTTTGTTACTCTGCCCCATGATTTGTTGTAGGCCATGCCATATTCGACGAGTGTCAGAACTCTCAAGATGTTGCTCAATTCTCTGGCTGTACATAGCTTTGGCATCCCTAATGCCCCTTTTCAGTTTAGGGTATATTAAAAAGGAGAGTTAAATTGAAATAAGGGAGCCCTATTCAGGGTAAAGATGTAATATGGTGGTTTTTTATTTTAAGTAAACTAAACTAGATATAAAGCTGGGTCATGGATCTGGAACCACTTTCAATAAGAATGTTATTAGAGGACCTTGAGAATATTATATAATATGAGAGTAATATTATGATAGTAGTCATACTATATACTAAATTTTGTACATGAATGGTTTGAATGTTTGAAAGATGTTTGGAATTTGGGGGGACAACCGGGAAGACACTGAGATGTAAAAAAACAAATAATTGTAAGCAAGCATGTAACACGATGTTTGACAAGCACAAAACAATGTAGATAGATTGAAAAACTAATAAAATGTTTATTAAAAAAACATATTTATGTGGCAAAAAAGCCAATACTAGTGTCCAGAATGAAGGAAGTAATAGTATTACTTTGCTCTGCTTTCATCAAACATCACCTGAAATATCACCTGAAATCCAGTAATAAGTCACAATCAGAATGGGTCCACTGACTTAGTGGGTGAGTCAACACCTATATAAGTTCCCTGATTCACCGGCCCTACTCTAGTTAGAGGTGAGAGGCCCTACTCACTGAGAGGTGATGTGATAGCCATCTTCAAATATCTCAAGAGCTATCAAATGAAAGAGGGAGCAAGGTTGTTTTGCCTGGCTCCATACGACTCAAAAGGATCCAAATTACAAGAGGAATGATTTTGACTAAACATTAGGAAGACGGTAAGAGCTGTTTGACAATGGGACAGATTATGCCCCCCCCTTCTTTTGATGTTTTAAAGCAGAAGTTGGGTGGCCATCTGTCAGGGCTGCTTTAGTGATGGATTTCCTTCTTCTTCAGGGAGTTGGGCTTGATGACCTTAGGAATCCCTTTGAGCTCTACATTTTAGAATTCTAACCCCCAAGCTAAGTCCCACTTTGGAGATGTGGTGATGAAACACTGAAATGACATCTGCATTTACAATACAACACTGTATTGCACTTTTTCTGAATGCACCTCCTAACATGCACATAAGAGGGCCGTTGTAATTCCCTGCCAAATTTTCTTGTCCTTTCCTCTACCTCCTTCCCTCTTCTTGCCTTTGCATGTCCCACCACTCACACAACATTCTGAATTCGTCTTCCAAGTGAACTGTACACTTTATTTTGAATCCAGTTTATGGAGGTAATTATGTTTGGTAAATGCAGAAACAGTTAATTAAATGGAAACAGTTAATTCATTAAATGGAAACAGTTTAAATTTGGGAACAGAATCCAGGTGGGAACTGGGGGATTAATTAGGATGACCCGTTTATATGGCCATACCTTTCTTCTGGATTAACATTCTGGCACATGTTTGAAATGCTGTTCCAATGCAAAAGTTGCCATTTTAAATAGGTGGGTGCATGTAAGAAAGGGGGTTTTTATGTGTAAAAACCTACTAGTTAAGTCACATGTTTTCATACTATTGCAAATAAATGCTATGGATGTGGGACAAGGTGCAAATTAAGTCAGGAAATTATTTTATTTGGGACACCCAAAGTCAGTCGAACCTTAATTGTGAAGATCCCATTTTACATCACATTTCTCATTAAATGACTAGCTGGCTTTCGGTGAGCCTCCGTCTCTGCTGTGTGTTATACCTGCAGTAGGAATATAAGAGCCCTATAAAGATGGCTTGCTCTGTAAAGTTGACAAGGCAGGACAGTAAGGATTAAACAGTAATATATGTGAAACACTTTGACTACTAAACTACTATAAAAACATAAACAAGATGACAAAAATGTACAAAAAGTAGACACTGTGGTAATAATAAGAGTAAAAGGATAGGAACATCTCTGTTAATGTAAGTTCTTCTTAAAGGCTTACCAAGCTCTAGCACAAATTCTTACTGACTCAAGTCACCTTCATTCTGTAAAGTCTTCATAGCTAAACCCCAGAGGGTCATACTGGAGAAAAATGGTCCTTCATTTTTTCTGCATTCAGTAGAAGATATACGACAACGTAATTCACCACTAGGACTGCTGCCTAGGAAGTTCACAGTGGGGTGAACCATGGGAACATCATTGGAATGCAAAGGCTCTTCTTCAGGTGGCTGGTCCACTTCTTTGTAAGAGCAAGTCTGATTAGGTTTATGCTGAGATTTGCAGAGTTTAACAGGATCCAAACTCAGTTTTTGTTGATTCATACAATTATGATGTTGTACTGTGGGCTCCATCTTGTGGAATGTTTTCCCAGGATTATCCAGTTCGCTAGATGAATTTTCAGATGTGTGGATGGGAAACTTCACTGATACTGGTAACAAAGTCACTGCTGCTATTTCTTGCATAAATGATTCTGAACTCCGGGACTTCTCAAGGTCAGAGATCTCCACTGACTGACTAAACTCACCTAGTGTATTTCTACCTTCATTGCCGACTTTACAGTGTATCTTTCTGTGTCGACGCAAGACAGCAGAACGGCTGAAACATTTATTACAAGTCTCACAGTTATAGGGTTTTTCCCCAGTATGAGTTTGGATGTGTCTTCGTAAGTCACCAGATCCTGCGAAGCATTTTCCTACAGAACAAGGAAGCATATTTACATATTTTTCTTCCATTTTTGCTTTAGGGTGCTGCGTATTAATTTCAAAAGTATATTAGCTTCTAACTGGTAATTATAATTACCAGCATTTTTCATTTGTTAGAGTTTGTTCTTATCTGCAAAACAGTAAAAACTATTGCTACTGGAAAGGGTGGCACCCTCAATATTTTCTATCAACATAAACAAATTCTTGTGGGAGCCATGTAAGAACACTCCAACTTAATACAAAATAAAGTTTAAAATAAGGAAATCAAAATTTAAAAAGAACAATAAAGTGCTGGATTTCTACTGATGAAATAGCAAGATTCTAATAAACAGGAGGAGCGGGGAGGATACTGCCTCTCTTTCCCACTACAAATATGACCCTAAATCTGGCTTTAGAGGACTCAGAAACCTTCTGAAGCTGGTTTTAAGATGGTGCAGAAGGCTGCAGAAAGGAGGGAGCTGGAAGAAAGTTTTGTGGATTTAGTCCATTGATTACAATACCTAATGTGTCATTTAAACACAATAGTGAAGAAGATGTAAAATAAGGTATTCTTCATAATCCCAGGATCTATATTGATTTGTAAAGAAGAGAAAGATCCCACTGAGGAGGAATTGTACACTTTATGCAGTGACTGTATTTATTTAATCAAACATTTTATATGTTGTCTCTTATTATGGATGTGCTGTTTCTTAATTAGCTATTATTTTGCACCTTAGTTATTACTTAGCTGAATAATGTATTCTATCTTACAAGAGCAATTGCTACTACTACTATTTCTGCATCCTTTTGAATAGGGAATTAGTTTCATTTCTTACGGTCATCGTCATAACCTATATTCATTTTGACAACTTGTTTAAGATATGTTCCACAACAGAACAACATCACTAGAGCAAAGTTCTATGTATCAAAGAGATGCTGGGGAACTGCTGCATCTGATTATTGTTATTTCATTACCCATTAAAAATCTAATCATACAATAAGCAAGGAAATGGTTAGGTTTTCTCACCACAAACTGAGCAACTGTACGGCCTCTCTCCAGTGTGTCTGATCCTGTGTTTTACTAATTTCCGTGGTAAGTTAAATGACTTTCCACACTGATCACAGGCAAAAACTTTTTCTATTATATGGTTCTTCTTGTGTTCCTTTAAATTACTGAAGTTACTAAATCCTAGAATGATATAAAAGAAAAAGGACTGAAATAAGCCACAAATGGTCCAAATATTCTGTGTCAAGCTATTCAACAGTACTCAGATATAGAGCAAGTCTGCAGCTCACCAGGACTGCAACCCTTCACCACAGACTGATTCATCTTCTCCTGCAAGTCATAGTAAGGATTGCCAAATGTTGCACACTAGCTAGAATGGGCCATCTCCTGAATGCAAGGCACAGGCAAGGTTTCTTTGGGTTGGGGAGGACTAGACCAGCTAGAGACACCTATATTGCAACACCAGAGTGACATGGAGCGTGTAGTTTATTCCTAAATCCTAGGTACATCTTAATTTCAACATACCTCGACCACAAATATCACATAGATGTGGTTTTTCTCCAGTGTGGATAATAATGTGGCGCTGGACATCCCCAGATGCTGCAAATCTGTAACAGAATTTTAAAAAACATTTTAAGCTTGTCTGTAAGTGTTTTCACAACTAAATTTCAGTTCTTGCACTCAAAATGCTTCATATTACTGTCTGGACAAATATGCAAAGTTCCTGATGGCTTCAATTTATGAATTAACATTTCCACACAAAGACTGTCCATAGAATTACCACTGTTCTTTGTGCAGTCACCATTCTTTCATAAATGACTACATGAATGCAAGGACTTTATTGTGATGTCTGATATTAATACAATTGGTTCCTGCAATGCAGTGGCAACAAGCTCGCAATCCACCAAGCTGATTCATGGATGTTTAAATATATGAATCATGGCTGGGTGGTACAAAACTTAACTCGTTATAACAACTCTTGTGCATCAAGATAGTTGCAGTTCTGAAAAATACCCACACCACATCATGCATGAAAATGGCTAATACAGTAAGCTGAGTATGTTATCCGTGTGTGTGTGTGTGTGTGTGTGTGTGTGTGTGTGTGTGTGTGTGTGTGTGTGTGTGTGTGTGTGTGTGTGTGTGTGTGTGTGTGTGTGTGTGTTTTAATGCATAACATTCTCAGTTAGTTGGACTATAACTGACTTGATGCTATCCTGGAATTTGTTTGTCCTCTCACGGTTAAGACTTTTACTGGAATATCAACTTGACCTGCTGTTGCCACCCAAGCCTGTCTAAAGTTCACTAGTTGCTTACTTGTAACTTGAATTGACATCTGTGAACTTGCACATATGGGTTGTTCTGTGCTTGCTCTAGAGATGTAAAATTTCTGGAAATTTCCATTTTTTCTGGGGGGAAAAACCCAGGGAAAACGTGTGTTTTTTCCTGGAAAATTGATTTTTTTTTTTTTTGAAATTTTACATCTCTAGCTTGCACAGAACAGTTCAGGAACATCTAAAGCTTGAGATAGACCTCTTGATGGTAGCCTTGCTCGTGGTTAGTAATGGCTCCTACCCTTTCCTTCCAGTTTCTTGGCTATTGCAACCCACAGCAGAGAAGAGGGAGCTTGACTCTCATAAAGGGGCATTATCTGAGGGGAAGAAGATGAGTTGTATGAGTTCATAGGTGAACATTCAAAGAGAAGCAACGTCTTCTCCATAGTCTCTATTACTCACACACCAGAAGGCATGCATGTTTGTCACTACTGAAATGAACAGAGAACAGCATGTCCAAGGGCTGCATCTTGTTGTGCTTTGATATCCAGACTGTACTTTTAGAGGGCTGAAACCTGGTTGCTGCACTACAGACTGACTCCAATCAAAGAACTGACATGATCAAATAGGATCACAGCACTGTGGACAATGTGGTCTTTGCCATATCGTACACAAACTGGAGAGCTGCAGTGACTTACAACATCTCTGCAGAAACTAGGGCCCCCTCTTTGGGACCTGTGTAACAGATGGGATGTTGTTGTTGTTTAGTCGTTTAGTCATGTCAGTAGCATGTTGAATGCCTTCCGACCTGAGGGTCCCATCTTCCAGTGTCATCTCTTTTAGACTTTTGTTTCTGTTCATGCGGTATTCTTGGCAAAGATACTAGAGTGGCTTGCCAATTCCTACTCCAAGTGGGATATCCAGATGGGATACCTGACAGAAATCTTGGTTCTGTCCATGTAAAATGAAGTTGCTCTACAGACATTGAGTGATACTATACATTCAGGCAATCATAGATTTTGATGTAAAAACTGGTTCAAATGAAAAGAAAAGACAACCTTCAGGAGAAAGAAAAAGTAAATTCTGAAATACTACTACCTTGTCTCTATGAAATTGGAGAAATGCCAGGCCACAGTGAAGTGCAGACAGTTTAAAGAACCTGCAGGGAAAAGGCTACAACTGCAGGAAACACATAATGAGCAACTGAAGGTCTCAGGTGGCTAACTGATCAAGCAGCTTGCACTGGAACTGCACTAGCACCAGTGGAAGGCTCCACAAGGAAAGAACAGAGGGTGTATGTGATGAAAGCCCATGACAAATCATTTGACTGGTAGGCAGAGGAATCATCATACTTTCGATCCTTGCTAATGATAGATCAGTATAACAGTAAGATATATTTAGATTAAAAGGAAAAACTGAGGTATCCTGATGGTGGAGGAAGGTTAAAGAAGCAGGCAAATCAGCTGTTCTGTGGTGCCTGCAAGAGAAGTTTAAGTGATGACATTTAGCCACATAACATCATCTAATACAAAGCTTGCAGTCACATTTTGCGTCCATGATCTCTGTGGGTTAACACCATGGTGGCTGGATCTTGCATGACATAAGTTAGAACGTGTCCATTAGGGAAATGGTAAGTTGTTTTAGAAGCACCCTCTACAGGCACTAATAAACACCATCCCCTGATGCTTCACTGTTCCCATGGAGCTTAGAAAGCTCTACCCATGTCCATGTTTTAAATGGCTATCTACATAGACAACCATGGCAAGGAAAGGATCCTGAAACTCTACTGAAAACATGGATTTTTGGGCTAAAACTACCAGAATTCTAGCTGGAGGAATTTCTGCTGAATTCTGGTAGTTATAGTGAAAAAAAAATCCGAAAATCCCATGCCTAGTAGTTGATCATTCATCAGTGAGGAGGGATAGCTTTGTGAATTCCCCAATAGAGAGATGACTTGGGAGACTGCAGTAACAATCGACAATTCTCCATATACAAAAACATCAGGTGGAGGCTGTGGAGATATGCTGTTGGTACTGCCATACACTTTGTGTCATGGTGAGGCCAACTGGAGAATTATGAATTGAAAGATTTCAGGGCCCAGGGTGAAATGGAGGAAGGATATGTATATGGATGGTAATATGTGGAGGGATCATAATATAAGGATGAAGTACCTGTACCTGGACAGTGATATCCTGTCTCCCTTCTTGAACACAGGGAGAACAGACACCAAGGTGGCCCTTTGAAATTTCTTGGGGGTAAGATCAAGGACAAGGTAGAGTGACACCATCCTTTTCTGAAATTCTGGAGTAGGCTGCATAGTACCTGTGGGTAATGTCCTCTATAGCAGAGGTTGTCAACCCCCGGTCCGCGACCCAGTGCCAGTTTGTGGCCTGAGTTGGACTGGGCCGTGGAGACAGACCTCCCGCCCCCCCGCATGCACTCCCCTCCCCACAGCTACTTTGTGCATGTGCACGTGTGCCAGCGCCAACATGAGCACTCCCCCACCCCTTCACGCATGTGCCCGAGCGCCCGCGAGAAGGGGTGGGCGCACACGCGGGCACATGCTCCCCCACCACTTTGTGCATGTGCCCAAGAGCCTGCCTGCACCCGTGCAAGCGAGCATGGGGTGCCCTGCCCTCCTCAGAGGCTCAGCCAGTCCGCTGTCCCAAAAAGATTGGGGACTGCTGCATTATAGGGCTCCAATAAGAGCTTGTTCCCCTGATAAAGAACTATAGATATAAATGTAAGTTTGAAATGGCCTGTGGATGTCAGAAAAGATAGTTCTGATGAACAGCCATCTGAATGTTCTTTGGAAATGCCCAATACATAGCATGAGGTTTTAGGCCCTGCTACAAACTCAAATAATAGAAGACATGTTTATCTTTTTGGATGTTTGGCTGTCATCTTCAAGAAGCTTACCAAAGACTGGGGGCCACCTGTTCCCAGAGGAATTCTTGGTACACCTTGATGCAGGCCTGATAAATGGCATTTAGGAAAGAAAGGGCTGCAGTATACTAAATCTTACTACTGAAAGTGTTCAAATTTCTGCATTCCATCTCCAGTGGCTTGGCATGTGGCTTCTTCTTAGACTTCCCTGCGCACCCGGACAATGATAGATGTTGGCAAAATATCTGAGAAGTACACACTCTTTCTTAAACATTAAATAAATATTTTCAAATTTCCTCAGGTCTGAGTAGTCAAAAGGGCATGCACCAAGACTGGCAGGCAACATGCAAGAATGTAAGAATGGAATGCCAACCAGAAATGAAGTTTGTAACTGGATTCACTTGAAGAAGATGGGTATTCTGGTCTCCAGTATAGTGGAACAGCCATGTGGCAAGACTGGTGTGCCCAGGTAACAGTGTTCTTTGAGGGGGAGAGTGCAACTTGGTCACTGATTAAAGCATCTGGGAAAGATGGAGACTGGAGTTGCAATAACGGCAAAAAAGACACAGAGTTGCTATTTTTACCATCATTAGAAGAGTCATAACTGGAGTGGGAGTCACTAGCATTAGGAGTAGGAGACCGGGCCTTAGATGTTGCCTGTATGGTAAGCAACTGTTCAGGCTAAGAAGAGTTGACTGTGGAAGTCTGTACCAAAGTTGTCAGCATTGAAGCTGTATTGGTAAGTACCGCAAACAACAGCTGATACCAGTACTCTCAGAGTACCAAGGTGCTTTGAGAGAGTGCTGAAGCAATTGTTGCAGTTGACATGAAAGCAGATATTGTCCTAGTCATAGATTTTTTTTCATAAATTAGGTACAGCTGATAATTGACGTAATAGCAAAGCTGCTTGTAAAAGAGAAAAAAGTTGTTTTGATGAAAAAACTAGGTAGATGTGCCACTGACACCAAATGCTAAAGCCACTAGACTACTGGTAAGTATGGAGCTATTGAAGGCAGATGTGCTGCTGATAAGATATCCCAGTTTGGTCCTGTCCATGCTCTGTGTTGTTTTGATCAGTGATGCCACGGAGATTACTGTCAGGAGGAGGACCTGGAAGAAAAGTGATAATAGTAGTGTCCACATCAATGTGTGATGGCATCTGAACATGACTTTCATCAAAATTGACAACAGCAAGATCAAAGGGTCATTATGTTTTAACCCCTTCCTCAGCTCTTCCATGCAGCTGCTTTCATGTGAATTCTGTGGGACCAGAAGAAAGCCCATTCTTCCATGGCAGACAATTCATTTCCCCAAAGGAAAATATTTGTTGTTTGCATGGAACTCAGATAGTTCCCAACATTTTCAAATATTAAAATCCACCTGAGTATCATTGTAGAAGTGCTTCATCCTTCTTCTCGGCAGAAAAATAAATTACTGTTCCACTTATGGTG